TCTGGTGGCCTAGTCACAAGAAGCTGCACTGCTATCCCAAAGGCAGACAGTTTGAGGCCACCAGCTGCTCCATGGAAGAAGGATGGGCAATCTCCTCCCATGCTATTAACTGCCTCTGAAAACTCGCTGGAGGGTCAGCTATGGGTCGGTTCAGATTCAACGATACACAACAACAGGACGATTACTTAAGCCAAAGATAATAACATGTTCATGTATACACTCTTAATACATTCCCCTACTGATTTCCAATGCATCACCTTGGGTAGAGTCAATCAGGAAGGACATGGTTGCCTTCTCTTCCATCTCTCTTTGTGGCTTTAAGCCATTGCCTGCTTTAAACCCTAGGCCAAGCCTCAAGGGCCTCGCTCCTGAGGGAAATAGCAGTCCTGTACGTCAAACACAATCCTGAAAAAGCACATGATCCCAAAAACTTGTGATTACTTGTGCACGTGGACCAAAGAAGTCACAGAAACACTGTTACACTGATGTGCCAAATGTGATAATGGTTACCATGGTGGACAGTGTTTGGTGGAGCTTCCCAACTAAAGCAAGCTTCGAAGCAGGGGTGGCACCCACCTCCGAAAAGGCTTGCCTCCGGAAACTCTATGAACAGTGCTCAGGCCTTTCGTTCATAGGGTCGCTATGAATCATCTACGACTCAACAGCACCTAACAACAACAACTCATTTCCAAGAGAGTTGTGACATTTTCTCATTGCATACATTGTAAAGTGTGTAACAGTGCCTGAGTATACCAATTTCCCCACAATAGTGCTATTGTTGTTGTTAAGTGCCGTCAAGTCGCAGGCAACTCATAGAGACCCTATGAAGGAGAGTCCTCTACGCTTGGGTGCCTTTCATCCTCTCTTCAGGTTCATAGGGTTTCTGGAGGCAAGCTATTATGGAAGTGGATGCCACTCCTCCTTCCACGCTTATTTAATTGGGGAGCTCCACCCCACTCTCAGTCCGCATTGGGTAGCCAACCATTGACGCATTTGACACATCCGTGTCACAGGGTTCAGCCTCACAGCAACCACAAGTGACCGCGGGACGGCAACTTGTACACCAGGGCTATACGACCTAGAGGAAATGTCTGAACAAAAACAATGAAAGACTGGCCTGAGGGCCGCAAACTAAAAGTCACCCACCTTTGTCTTGGTCACATAGTTTTCTCTTCACTGGGCCAGCTGATCTCTCTCTCTCTCTTTCTCTCTCTATTGATGTTATTGTTGTTAAGTGCCGTCGAGTCGCAGGTGACTCATAGCGACCCTATGAAGGACAGCCCTTGACGCTTGGGTGCCTTTCATCCTCTCTCCAAGTTCATAGGGTTTCCGGAGGCAAGCTATTATGGAACATAATAGGAGTTGGAGTGGACATGATGACAGTAGGTTTAAGCTGTTATTGACAAAAAAAAAAATCAACAAAAACAATTTGGCATGGAGCACTATTAACTATTAGCCTATGAACAATAGTGCTAGATAAAGAATATTGCCATTTTACAAAGGTTTTTGCCAAATCAGCATCCTAAAATAACTGATCCAAACTTTCTTTAGAGCTGGAGACCCATTTTTATAGAAATGGTCATACTGAGACTAATATCTGTCTGGGCAAGTTGCAACTCAATTTTCTTCTTTGATCCCTCTATATTCCTGTGAGAAAGACTAGGCAAAAAATAGGGCTCTGGGTCACAGGTGTCATCTGAGGCTTAAGAAGTACATGAGGTTCATAGTTGCCAATAGCTAGGCCTTTCGCTCCATGCCAAATTGTTTTTGTTGGTTTTTTTTGGTCAATAACAGCTTAAACCTACTGTCATCACATCCACTCCAACTCAAAGTGACCTTTCTTTTTTAAAAAATCTTATTATTTTTTTATTTTCTTAAATATTTTTTTAATTATTTGTGTGTACCATCAAATCAGATCTGACTGGTACAGGAGGAGATTGTCCCTCCTTCCCCGGCAGAGCATCTGGTGGATTCGAACTGTGTGCCTCTGGGATTGCAGTGCAGCTTCTTGCCACTAGGCCACCAGAGCTCCCCTCAAAGTGACCTTTCTATGTAAGGTAACTGCCCATCTTTTCTTTCCGAGAACCCAGGGGATTTGAACCACCAACCTTTCAGATAGCAGCATAACGTGCAACACATTATGTTACTGGGTCACACTGAGACATAAATAGGTGAATTGTATGGTATGTGAATGAAGGGCACAATTTCATGTGGCCAGGTGAGGCTATTTCTTTAAAAGGAACATCATACTTTGAAAGATAGAGGGTCAGCGAAGGAGAGGAAGACCCATATGAGATGGATTGGCATGGTGACTTTGGCAATGGGCTCTACTGTGTCAGAGATGGTAAGGATAATACAGGATAAGGCAGGGTTCAGGTGGCCTGTTCATGGGGTCACTATGAGTTGTACTTGACTCAACAGCACCTAACAACAACAAGAAGGATATTTATAAAATTCATCAGTCAATTAGGACATCTTCACCACCACAAAAGAAATCCAATGCCCACTCATAGTCACTCCTATAGTTCTTTTATATCAGATAAAGGTAAAAACATGACTTTAAGTATGAACAAAATGCCAATTTGGACTGTATGATGAAAGTTGAGAATGCTTGGATTTGTGTGTCATGTTCCAGTTGTGCATACCACACTCTTCTCATGACCTCCTCACAATGGGGTGAAGAATTTCATTTGGCAGAAGAGGAAAGAAAGACTAATAACAGTGTCATGACTCATTCAGATCCCTATGCTGGTGGAGGCAGAGAAGGGCCTGAAATAGAGGCAGGTTGTTCTTATTCCCTACTCAAGTCCATGGTACTAACAGCCTCTTGGCTCCAGGACCTGTCCTAAGAACAGATGGAGATAGACAGGAAACAGGAAATAGGGGACATTGTTGTGGTGGTTGCTGTTAGATGCCATCAAGTTGAGTACAACTGACTCACTGAGATCCTATGAACAGCTGACCTGAATTCTGCCCTATCCCGGACTACCCTCAACATCTCTAACACACTAGAGCCCATTGCTGAAGTCACCATGTCAAATCATCTCATCATCGGGTGTCTTCCTCTCCTTCACTGGCCTTCCAACTTTCCAAGCATGATGTCGCATTCCAAGGAATAGCCCCACCTAGCTACATGTCCAAAGTATGAAAGACAAAGCTTCGCCATGTTTGCCTCCAAGGAGCACTCCAGCTACACTATTTCCAAGACTTATCTGTTCTCTTGGCAGTACATGGAATATTCTGTACTCTTTTCCAGTACCACAATTCAAAAGCATCACTTCTTTTTCTGACATCTTTATTCATTATCCAGCTCTCTGATGTGTAGCAGGTGATTGAAAAGACCATGGTCTAAATCAGGTCTTCAAACTGACATCATTGATCTTCAGCATTTTGGAGAGTGCCTGCCAGTGGACTTGTCAAATGCAGTCAGTTCATTTCCTGATTTCCTGACTGCTGGTTCCAAGGGATTGCTTAGATGATGATGATGATGATGATGATGATGATGATGATGATGATGATGATGATGATGATGATTTGTTGTTGTTGTTGTTGTTGTTGTTATTATTACTACTACTATTTCTACTACTACTACTTCTTGGATTGTTGATCCAAGCAAGATTAATTTCCTGACAGCTTCAATCGTTTCTCCATTTATTATAATGTTGACCGTTGTTCCTGTGGTAAGGAACTTTGTCTTCTTGATGTTGAGATGTAATCCATATCAAGGGCTGTAATCATTGGTCTTCTGCAGCAAGTGTTTCATATCCTCCTCTCTGTAAGCAAGCAAAGTTGTGTCACGTGCATAACGTAGGTTGTTAGTAAGTCTTCTTCCAAACCCAATGCCACATTCTTCTTCATACAGGCCGGCTTCACAAACAATTTGCTCAGCATACAGATTGAATAAATATGGAGAAAGGATACAACACTGACGCACACCCTTTCTGATTTTAAGCCATGCAGTATTTCCTTGCTCAGTTCATACAACAGCCTCTTGGTCTAGGAATAGATTCCATATGAGCACAATTAAGTGTCTGGAATTTCCATTCTTCTCAATGTTAAGCATAATTTGTTACTATTCATACAGTCAAATGCTTTTGCATAGTCAATAAAACACAAATAGACATTCCTCTGGTATTCTCTGCTTTCAGCCGAGATCCATCTGGCATTAGGAATGATATCCCAGGTGCCACAGCCTCTTCTAAAACAATCTTGAATTTCTGGTAGTCCCCTGTCCATATATTTATAAATAGTTACTTCTCAGGTGGTCACAATCAGAGAGGTACAAATGTCGTTCGGCGGCGTTTTCTCCCTACTACCCAACACACACTCTCCCCACACACTCACACGCACATAAATTTTAGACTCATAACATCTGTTGATTTATTCCTTCCCTCATCACTCAACATTTATCAAGTGTTCACTTTGGCAAGCTCTGACCTAGATAGATGTTGGAAATATGGCAAGTATTCTTAGGCTGGAAGGGAAGGCAGAAAATATCCTAAAACTTAGAGAGATGAAGGTCTAAAGTGACCTGAAAGACTAGAAAAACTAAAACCAGAAGATATTTAGAAGAATGTTCCAAGAGGAGGGAACAGCATGTACAAACGCCCAGAAGTGATAAGAAAAAATTATCACTCTGAGTGGTTCAGTGACAGAAAAAAAAGAGAGAAGACTGGACCACATCAATCAGGTGAGGAAAGTAGGGCTTTCTCCTGGAAACACCCAAGGAGCCTGGCAGAGTTTTGAGAAGGGATATGATGGAAATTTTGGGAATATCATTCTAATAGCTATGAGGAAAGAATATTTAAGAAGGCAAGAGAGGAGGTAGGCCTGGCTCTGGGACTGTCCTAGTTTCTCAGGGCCTAGAATGTGTGGTAGGGAGTTCTGGTGGTGTAACCTGTAAGGGGTTGTGCTGCTAAGCCAAAGGCCAATCCTCTCTGGTGGTTCAAATAATTTCCAGCTTCAGAAACTCAGTTGAGGTCAGCCATGAGTTGACAACCATGACAGAGATAATGGGGGAGAAATTTCACTTTGCCTACAAGGTGAAAGCCATTCTTCCCAAAGAAAAATGTCAGTGAGACCAGGGTATGGAGCTTCCCAGCCTCAAACACTTACAACTCTATTCTTACTGCTGTCTTTCATCTTGTTCAGAGAAAGGGGGTATTCTGCCCATTCTGTGAAAGAAGAGAGATTTGCCCAAGTCACATAAAAGTTGCTGGGTTATGGAGCCTTGATTCTGTGAGGTTTGATGCAACCTCAAAGCAAAAATATCCCAATGACCAACTCCTCCTTCTGAAATTCTTGGCCCTGGGCTGTGTGAAGTTTTTCCAAGAACTCTGTTTTTGGAGTTGCCAAGGCAGAACCAGAGACCAGGGATGAAACTTGAGATGTCCTCAAAACACCCTCGAGCTTCTCTTAGGCCCTTTGACCCTCACATCCCCTCCTTCACCTCTCCAAACAATAAACCTGAGGCTCCCAGTGGCTATCATCACACACAGCCTCCAGGAATTGTCTTCAGAGACAAAGGGCCTGTCAGAGCTGCCAGGCTATAAAGCCAATGAATGGCCTTGGCTGCCAGTTGGACAATATTCAGACTCTGAGAAGAGATCTCAGGTAAGGGGAGTTCCAAGGACTAGAAGGCCATTACTTGGACTACAAGGCAGAGATTTGGGGTAGGACATGAAGTGGAGCAAAAAGGACCAGAAGACAGAGGAGATTGGCAGCATTCTAATTGGCTCACACTCCACCCTCATTCATGGAGAGAAAAAGTGTGGGTATAGAAGGCATGTCTGTGACCATCTCTTCCTTGATACACGGTCTTGGGCAAGTGGGCTATCTTTGAATTTCAGTTTGCATATATGTGAAAATAGGCTTCCCAAAGGTCCCTGCCCTGAAGGAGAAAGAGCAAGGGAGGGGCCTGCAAAGCGAAGGCTCCGTCTCAGGCTTCTTCCCTCTGTCGAAGTCTTTGAAGCCAAGGCTTGGTTGAGAGGGATGATAGGTCACAGATAGAGGAGAATCTTGTACATGACCCAGGAAATGGGGAAATACTCATAGCTCTGTCTAAGAGGAGTCCTCTTAACCCCAAATTCTTATTTTGAAAATTCTCAAAACTAGACAAAAGGTGAAAGACTAGCACACTGAATACTGTCTTGTCTCTGTAGACTATTGTGACTCCCCCACTTTCTTTCAAAAATATACTGATTTTTGGTCATGTTGGTAGATGTTTTGGAGTATATAGTTTCACCACAATAAAAATAAATAGACCATGGTGTTAGTCAGTGAGTCATTTTAACAAGCAAAGTTTTGAAAAGACTAGTATATTGGCTGTGTGCCAGGCACCATCTACAAGCTTCATGGACATTTGTTGTTTTTGTTTTTAATATTTGTTGTTTAAAAAAACCCATTATTGTCCAGTTGGAACAAAGTCATAGCCAGCCCTTCAATGAGTTTTCAGAAACATAATTTGCACAGGAGGTGATTTTCCATTTCTCTCCTGCAGACCAGCTAGTGGATTCAAACGGCCTGTATTTATTTGTCTTGGCGGCACAACTCGTTACACTTGTTGTTATGTGCCGTTGAGTCGACTGTGACTCATAACAACCCTATAAACAAACAGCAGATCTGAACCTTGACCTATTTTATGCCATTCTCACCGTCTCCAATACACTTGAATGCATTGTTATAGTCACCAAGTCGATCTATCTTGTATTGGGCCTTCCTTTCCTATATTGACCCTCTGCCTTCCTAAGCATGATATCCTTCGCTACAACTCTGATCCCTCCTTACAACATGCCCAAAGCATGTGAGACAAATATCCATCATCCCTGTTTTTAAGGAGCACCCTTTTTGCACTTTCTCCAAGACAGACTTGTTTGCTCTTTTGACAGTCCAAGGTATACTCAGCACTCTTCACATCACAACTGTAAGGTATTGACTCTTCTGTCACCCTTAGTCATTGTACAACTTTCAGCGACTATGGCTTAGATCAGGTGCACCTTAATCTTTAAACTGACATCCTTGCTCTTCAGCACTTTGGAGGGGTCCCTAACAGCAGTATTTCCCAATGCCACTAAGCCACTTAAATCTGGCAGCAATCCTTTCCCCCCTTAATATTCATTTAGGGTTTTTTTCACCCCCCCCCATTGTTGCACATTTTATTCCCCTCCTGTTCCAGGCCACCCTTAATGAATCCTTTGTTCTGATTGTTATCATATATATAATGCTTAAACATATATTCCTTACAGACAGTTCTTCTCCTCATCTGTTCTAATGTCGTATTCATTATCTATCCACTCTTTTCCCATTCTTTCCCAATCTCCCCGTGTCTGTCCTATTTTATAACAGTGGTGCTTTGAATGCTTGTCCTTTTTTGACTGATATATTTCACTCAGCATAACATACTGTAGGCCTTCCCATGTATGAATTTATTGTTTTTCAGTGCTGTGTAATATTCCATTGTGTGAATCTACCATAGTTTTTCTATCCATTTGTTTGTTGATGGGCACTTAGGTTGCTTTCATCTCTTTGCTATTTTGAATAATACAGTGTCTAAGTAGGAGAAAACAGAGCATGGAGGCACAGGGTCATAAGCATCTCTCTGAAAGGGCAAGAGGGAGTAAGAATAATACAGCATCTCACTGCCTCAGAGTGGAAAGCAGATAAAAAGCCTATGTAGCCTAGCCCTATGATGCCTCTAGATCCACACCAACAGCAAGGGTTTCATTTATTTATTGAAGACTCACAATTGTGGTACCAACAATGGGATTTATTAAGGAAGGAAGCTGGAGAGTGGGGGAGGCAAAGAATATCTCACAATACAAGTCCAGGTTTTAGCCCAACAGTTCCAAGGCACAATTCTTCAATAAATCCAAGCTCCAGTTTCAGTTCAGCAGTCAAATCCAAATCATCCAGCAAGGTTTGGCTCAGCACAGTTATAAGTCAGCTCTCCTTCAAACATCTGGTAAGAACAGCCAAACCTTTAACTGTGGCCAGTGGTATCTTTATACAATGGAATATTATGCAGCATACAGGAGCAATGATTTTGTAAATTACTACCTAACTTGGGAGGGACTGGAAAGCATTATGCTGAGTGAACTAAGTCCCAAAAGGACAAATATTGTATAAAACCATTATTGTAAAATGAGTATGAGGATCCAAAGGGGGGAGTTAGAAGCAGAGGGGTAAGAATGGTGGCGTGTTAATCATAGGGTTTCACAATTTGATGGGTGGGGGGTGAAGGAAATGGGAAAGGTCTTGCGTGGAAAACAAGGTATTCAAACTTTATAAGTAAATCTGTATTTAAAAAACCCTCAGGTGACACCTTGCCATCATTTGTCCACAGTAATACCACAGTCTCTCCACCACCAATGTCTTACCATCACAAGCCTTGCTGCCCAATGTGGGAAGGACTCTTTCTCTTATCTTAGTCTCACAGCTGTTGATAATTTGCAAGACCATGCTGATTTGCAAGAGCATGTGTCTGCAGTTAAGGCAGCTGGAGACCAGAGGTGGCTGTGATAGCTAAAACAAACAAAAAAACCAGCCAACTTTTAGGCTAACACCACACACCATAGTGGCTGTACCTTTTTATATTCCCATGATCAGTGAATAAGTGTTCCAATCTCTCTACAACCTTGCAGCATTTGTTACTTGTTGCCCTATTAAACTTTGCTATTGTTGCTGAGGTAAGATGATATTTCAGTTGTTTTGTGACAGCAATCCTTTAAGTTATATGCTGTAAAAATGCTGCACCATGCTTCAAAGATGGGGAAACCAAGGAACAGGAAATTTGGTAGCAGGTCTCAGGTCAGAGTCAAGATGAACTTAGTCCTGTCTGAACCCAAAAGTTTTACTCAGTCTGACAGCCCTCTGGACTTTGAATCCCAGCTGCTATATCCTGAAGGTGTGCACCCTGCCTCATTACACTTTCCATAGCAAAACGCTCAGCACCTATGCATCCTCCCCAACCTCTCAGTCTCCTTCTGCATCTCTGTCCTCAGAGTTCAGAGCTTCAATCCCGAGAGGCAGAACCTCCCCCTCAGCCCCCATGATGTCTGCTTCCCCCCACATTATAATAACTGAAATCTTATTTTATGTACAAAGTTTTGATCTTGTTTTTTGACATGGAGAAGTCTCTGTTAGGATTAAGACCCAGGTTATGGGTGTACAAGATCAGCTCTGCAACTACCGAATGTCTAATTTTGGAGTCTCAGCTCACTGATTTGTCTTCTGGAAAAATGGGTATGATGGCCCTCCCTCACAGTGGATTGCAGGTAAAGGAGAGGAGGCCTGAACTGAGCAGTTAAACTCTTGATAAAAGAGTTATTGGGGAAAAAAAAAGAGTTATTGAATCTCCCAACTGCCCCATTCTGGCTTCAGACAGGATTCTTCAACCGTCACAAGTTTATTTCAGAGCCAAATCTCACAAGGTGGGCCCCTGTAATCGGGTGAGTTCACATGTAAGGAAAGCAGGAACAGTGACCACTGGCCAGACCACTGTTTTCAAAATTAGGTGGCTCTCAAACCAGCTGGATTCATTCACCCAGAGGCCTGGGCCCAAGGGGCGGAGTCTCCTGGTCCCGCCCATGGGTGGGCAGCAAAGGGACGGTCCACGGAGGAATCATGACCTTGCGGCTGACTTCAGTCTCCACAGACACTCCGTGGACAGGCACCAGGGTAGGAGAAGCAGGTTAGGACCTGGGAGTGAACAGGGGATAGACATTCTCAGGCATCATGAGTGAGGGGGGTTATGGTCCTGTTCCCCTCCACCTGGGGAGGGGTGTGGCGGCCAACTCTGCTTTCCTGAGTGTCAGTCAGTGTTTGGCGGGTGGAAGCCAAGAAGGCTGAGGGACAGGTACAGGTGTGCACAAGGGACCTGAATCAGATTCTTACAAGGTGCTGCTGAAAAGAGGGAGTGGATAGTGAACATCAATTATTTTTCAGAGTTCAGAAAAGTGTGAACCACTAGATTTCTAGTGCCATCATTCTGTGATGGCTCCAGGTCAAGTGCTATGAGGGCTGACACTTGGGGCACTAACCAGTTACTCTGGAGTCACTTTCTGCTCCTAGTGACCCCGTGTTGGGTGAGAATGGGGCTGTGCTCCATAGGGTTTTCAATGGCTAATTTGTTACATGTAGGTTTCCACTTCTGAGTTGACTCAAACCCCTAACCTGGAGCATTATATCAGCACCAGTGTTTTCGAAGGCACATTGGCTGGTTGCCCTAGGTTGCCAGAGGTGATTCTCCAAACCACCCATGAGCGGGTATCCCCAATTTAACACCTCACAGCAGGCACCCTGTCAATCAATATTGGACATGAAGAGATTGAACACTGATCTTGAAGGAAGTATACCCCTGAGGCAGTGGAAGGGCAGCCTGGGCAGGAGGCCAGCATACTGAAAGGTCTGGAGGAGGGATGCTGTCTGGGAAACTGGAAGCAGCTTAGGGAGCAAGGGCCAAAGGTAGTTCCATGAGAGAATCATGGGACAGAAGAGACTAGGGAGGCCTGATGAAACAAAGGCAATGCCAAGCTATGATTTCCAAACAAGACAAGGCATTGTCACCATCATCAGAGACCCTGAGGTCTCTTTCCTCCCATCTCTGGCTCTTGAACTGTTGCTACTCTCCACTCTCCCACACCTTCAATTCACCAGGGCTACAGTGTTTCCAAGCTTCAAGCTTCCATCCTGGAAGGGATGCCTGGAGACCATCCTTTGTGCAAGTAAATGTCTTTCCCGGTGGCCATGCGACCCCACCCAATGCTGCAGCAAAGGGCTTCGGCCCAGTGAGTTGGCTCCCAGCCCAGGGACTGTCAGGGGCAAACTAGGAGCAATACGGTTCTGCAGGAGTCAGAAGAGGCTAGCTAGGCAGGGCAGAGTTGATTTCCTATTTGTGGTTTTTTTTTTTTTCATCTTTAGCTCATACTGGCCACAGCAGTGACCCTTGTTGTTCCCTGTCTGCATCTGCCAGACTCAGAATGGTTTCTTGGTGCCACTGCCTCCTCTACCTTTTGGTACTTCAGCTTAAGGAAGAGTGCAGGGGAGGAGTCCAAGTGGCCATCCTCATCATGGTCACTGCAAAGGTTACATTAGATAAGCCCCTCACATAGACATAGGGAGCTCTGGTGGCCTGGTGGCAAGAAGCTATGCTGCAAACCTGAAGGCACGCAGTTCGAGGTTACCAGCCGCTTTGCTGGAGAAGGCTGGGCAATCTCCTCCCCTGTGATTAATTGCCTTGGAAAACCCACTGGAGGGTCAGTTCTGACCTTACAGTAAACAACAACAATTAGACATAGAAATAGAAGCACACCCTCATACTAGACGCAGTGTTGAAAGCATCTCAGGCCTCCCCTAGTACTGCCATTTTACAAATGAAGAAATAGACGCAGCAAGAGAACCTAACAGGACCAAGGTATAATCTGTCCACACTCGAATGACCTCAAGCCCAGAGTCCTTGGCCCTTCCCACCTCCTGGGTCAGATGCCCACTCACTGTTCTCCTAGATCCTCTCTTCTCTCCAGTGCCCCCTGGAGAGGTGAAGTTGGCAGAGGGGTTGTGCAAGTTCCCAGAGCAGAGGCTAAGCTAGTGGAAAGCCCAAGAGTCCTGCGAACAGCGGTTTGGCCACCTGGCACTGGGCCTCCCAGATGAGGTCCTTGCCCTGACACTTTATGACCAAATCTGGATGGGCCAGAGCGAGGCCCCTCTGCAGAAACCCCTACAGAGGCCTGAGTGTGGGTCTCAGGCCTAGGAAGTGGGGGGCAGAAGCTCTGGAAACCTCCCAGAATAGGTGGCAACAGTAACTGACCCATAGTATTGTGCCCTCCACATCTCTAGGTCTCCTCGTCTTGGGTAGATAATAGGGGGTGACCCCAGGTAGGGCGTGGGAGCTCATTTTTTCCTTCATGGTGTGGGAGACACCCCAAAATCTACAGTTGTTGGAAGGGCATCGAAAGGCGGCCTCCGGTGTCGAAATTTAAGTCTTGAGTGGCGTGTCCCAGCAGGCCTGATCACCACTGGTCTCGCTGGTGTTCGGTGAGAAGACAGCTGACAGGGCGGCTCGGCTGCGCACGTTCCTGCCCGCTCTGGAGGCGCTAACCGCGTGCGTGGGACACGGCTGTGCTCTTCTCCCTGGCGGTGCCCGCGCTGGCCAACGCACTGCAACTGCTCACCTTTGCGAAGCCCGGGGGCCTGGTGCACGCCGCACTCGTGGTGCGCGGGCAGCACACGCCCTTCCTCCCCGCCCTCCGCGCGGATGGCCACTGGCACCACGTGTACGCCTCCTGGGAGCAGCACGGCGGGCGATGGGCGCTGTTAGCCGGCGGGCGGCTGCGCGTCGGGGCGCGTGGTCTGAGCGCAGGTCAGCCGGTACCACCCGGCGGCGTCCTCCTTGTGCTCGGCCAAGACCGGGACTCGCTCGGCGGCGGCTTCTGTGCAAGACGCCTTCAGCGGCAACCTCACTGACTTTCACTGTGGACGCGGGCGCTGGGCCTCTCACAGCTGCGCGGAGCCGGGACGTGCGCGCCACCCTCCGAGGACCTGCTCTTCCGCTAAGACCCGACCTATATGTCGCTCCCTCGCGGCTGCCCACCGTGCGAGTGCGCCTATTCTGCCCTGGTATGGCCCAGGCCGCCCGCCTGATCCCCAGAAGCTGCCCTCTGGCTCCTCCTCGTTTGGCTTCAGGGCGCGTGCCTTTGGCCCCGCCCCTGGCTCAGACGGCGTTTGCTTCTGACTCCTGGACGTAGTTCATTCCACGACAACCTAGTCCACCCAATTTTTGGCACACAGCCCGTCGCCCTCTGGCATCCATATGCCTAGCCCTATTAGCTCAAACTATGACTATCTCTCTAGCCATCATGACCCCCCCTTGCTAGCCCCACCCCCCTAATTCTCACGTAGCCACCTAAACTTGGCGCCCCCTCAGGTCTCAAGTGCCTCCAAGGCCTGTCGGTAGGCACACCAATCAGGGCCTCTGATGCCAGGACGAGGCCCCGACGGGCCTCTTACACCTGCCAGTGCCCTCGAAGGGACCCAGGACCCACCACCGAGGGCCGGGAGCCCTGCGTGCAGCCTCGGCCTTTCCTCTGCTGCTACGGGACAGGTGGGCCCCGCTGTGCCCCTGGGCTCTACAGAAGGAAGCCAGATCTGGAGCACTGCAGGATAAGGGGGAGAATGAGAGGGTGGTGACACTTGGGACTTCGACTCTCCCTGGGGCTTCCAGAGAGTCTAGACCACAAGATAGTAATGAGTCCGGCTGTGTGACTTTGGAGAAGTGATTTGGCCATTCTGTCCCTCAGTTTCCCCACCTAGAATTCCATATGAAGGCTCCAGACATGCAGTCTCAGTGTGCTCTCCCTCCCTTGGGCATCTTAAGCTGTCTGGATGGTAACTGAATGGTCACCTGTGCAGCCATGTGGCCCAGGCCTTCTTCCATTATTTCACAGAAACCTATAAGAGACTACAGGATGCCCAGTCCTGGCCAGGCCAGGATGTTATCAGCCAAGTCAATGCCTTGGCCAATGCCACTGTGGTGGGTTACCCTCCCAAGGTGTCTGGTGAGTCTGGGGTCGCTGTAGGTCCCCTCCCTGGGTTTTTTCATCAGTGAAAAAAAAAATCATATAATGGATCCAGGGGAATTAAAGCTGGTCATGCTCTCTAATTTGTAATTCTTAGAAACTAGGGCCTTGTAACAAAGTCGATCCTCATTCACCAAAGAGACCCAGACAGCCAAATTGATCACCCGGAGGGATCCCTTTGTGTCAGATAGACCAGCAGGTGCATCTTCCCATAGCTGTCCCCTGACCCCATCTCTGAAGTCCATGGGACCCTATCGTTGGCTGAGGCTTCCCACTTCCTGTGTGTCCTGGAGACAGTACTGGCAAAGGTGGCAGCTCCACTGGAACCAGCTGTGCTACTGGCCATCATGTGCTTTCTGATAAGGGTGACAGCCCTCAGCGCTGAGGAACCAGACCCCCTGGCTGACAGCCCTCAGCGCTGAGGAACCGGACCCCCTGGTTGAGCTCTGGGAGCAGTTGGGCCAGGATGTCCTGTTTGTGGCCAGCCTGATTCTGGAGAAGCAGTTGACCACCACATGGCTGTCCATCAGCAAGGTGAGGCTGTCAGAGATTGGTGAGTCCAGGGCCTGGGCACTGATTTCAGCGTTGTTACAGGCTTGTGTGGACATGGACACATCAACACCCTCTCAGGGCTTTATCACATGTTCATCTGTGAAAACTCTTCTTTTGTCTATTTGATAAATTGAACTTTTACACGCAAGTATACTTGAACAACAGTTTCTGCAATAAAACATTAAGAGCCACTAATTAATAAGGACTTTCCTATATTAAGAATCTGCTGATCCACTTGAGAGAGCCTCTATGCTAAGTCTACAACCTATCTCATCTCCCAAAACAACCCAGTACCCTAGAGGATGTGAGATGCTACTAGTTAGAGAGAGGCTGAAACCTTATTCTAAAGAAAGCGCCTAGAGGCCTGGAAGTTAATAAGCCCAGAGAAGGAAGGAAACAAGGTAACATTGGCATTGCCCACTGATAACCGGGCCTGAGAAAGCACACTATATGGTCTCAGGGACAAGAAGAGAAACTGAGAACGGGTTTTGAAGCTTTTTTAAGAGTTTTCCAGGAGACTGGTTCTGTGGAATGGTTCACTTGGACAGATGTGAACTCCGCAGCCTGGGACAGGTATGATCAGGCTGCCACAGGTTACAGGTATTTAATTGGAGATCTGAGACACTTTATTTTTTTTTATTATTAAATTTTATTCATTTTAATGAACATTTACAGAGATTTTGAGTTTTCATTCATTCATTCATTGTTGCACTATTTTCTCTACCCTCCTCCCCAGTTCGTTCCCCCCCCCTTGAAAGTCTGTTTTAATTGTCCAATTGTCTGGGGTACTTTAGCAGTGTGAAAAAGATGGCTGCTGAATTTCAGTTGTCTACCCTGGAGAATGGAGAGGAGGGCCTGGCACAGAGTGGATGTTCTGTTAATGTTCATTCTCTCTTCCATGCCCTGCCCAAGGATTTTCTTGTGGAGTCTCAAAGTTGAGCTCTTACCCAGGTAGCACTGAGTCAGTCAGAAGAAGGACAACATGTTTCCTGGCTAGCAAGAGACAGACCACCAGGCACAGAGTGCTGTGAGGCCTTCAGCTTGACAAGCTGGTGGGGCAGCTTGGAGTGGCCAGGGAAGGCTGAGCCCGGCAGGACCTCAAATGCCAGTCTGAGATCTTAGAACTGATCTGTGAGCCCTAGGGTGCTACTGAGGGTTCTGGAGCAGATGGAGTCATTGAGAATATGTGGACCCCAGTGGTCATCGCACATGACAGTGGGGTACAGAATGTGAAAGAGACCTGAGGGAATTGGCCTTGCCCACTGAGATGCAACTTCCTCCCAGTTGTTTGGTGCTGGTGGCAAGCATGCACCGCCTGGCACTTCTTCTGAGCACCACACTAACCCCTGAGCGGTCCTGAATTCACATCCAGCACCACCATTTGGGTGAGCCTTCCTGCCTATTCAACTAAGAGCTGGGCCCAGGGTGGAGTTTGAGGTCAGACAGCTCCTCCCTCAATCCTGGTCCCTAGGGCTCTCTTCACTCCTGTAGACACCCCATTTTGCTTCCTGCCTTTGCCTATGTGGTACCTTGCATTCAGAATGCTCTTCTTGAAGTCTGGGGAAACTCCTAGCAATGCTTAAAAATGTTGCTTGAGGATTATCTCCTCCAAGAAGCTTTTTTCAGTTTTTTTCTCCCTCCTGACAGGCACTTCCTTCCCCCTGAATATCTCTTATTGCATTTGTGGTGATTGTACAATGAACTTGCTTCCCTCTACTCAAAGCACCTTGAAGGCCTGGGATACTTCTAAGTCATCTGTGTATTTCTCAAGGCCAAGGCCAAGTACATATTCAGTGAATTTGTGCACACTGGAGGGCAGGCACTTATCCTGTACTCAAGTCACTAACATGAGTCCAGGTGCCCCCCCCCAGGAGACACCTAGACTTGGAGGAGTCATATTTGCCATGAGCAAAGCACTAATCCTCTTTAAGAAGGAACAGTGGCCCCGTTGCACCTGTGGGAGGGAAAGAGGAAGCAGAACCTCCTGGCTAGGCCAGCTCAACAGGAAGACCACCTTCCTGAAGCCTAGCCACTCAGCCTCATTCAATCCCAGGCCTGGAGGGGCAACGCCTGTGCCTGAGGGAGGCCCACCTGGGAGGCTACACATTCAGGCTGCTTGATGGACACCCAGAGGGGCCTTGCCACATCCACATCCCAGAAGGTGAAGTGAGACGACTTCTCAGGAGAGGTGGGTAAGGGTGAGGAGGAGTCTGGGTCAATCTTTGACAGTTACTAGCTGAGCTACTTGGAATTAGTGACCTCACCTGTCAGAGCCTCAATTTTCTCATCTGTAAAGTGGAGAACTAATATTTATAATAATTTGGGTTGTTAATAGGTTAAATAATGCTCCAGACAGAGCACCTACCAGGTAGCAAGTATTCACTTAGTCTCCTCTGTTAAACCCCATACATTTCCTCTCTTAGGTGGGCAGTGGGGTGACCCCTGCCCCACCCCTATCCTTGGTGCTATACACATGTGAAGAATTAAGGCAAAGGGCTTTCAGAGCTATGAGGTTAAACATAAGGATTATGGCTGGTTGGAATTCTGACTTTGTCGTTTGTTAACTGTGTGATCTTGGGCAAGTCATTTAATCTGTCTGAGCATCAGTTTGCCCATCTGTAAAGTGTAAAGAGCTTTTCCCTTGGGGCTTGCTGTGGTCTTGCTCAGCCAGTGAGCCCCAACCCACTCATCCAGGTCTCTCTGAAGTCACCATGATTCACAGCTGGCTTGCCTCAAGTATCTTCCAGCACACCCTGGGGGAGGCCAGCCTGGGCCCCCAGACCTCTGACAGCACAGAGGAGGATACAGACAGGATAGAGAGGTGAGTGGGCCCTAATTGGCTGCTCAGTGTGCATTACCTTCCCAGAAAAGGCTGGGGCTCCCTCCTCTTCTAGAACCTCCATTCTGGTAGAAAAATACTGTCCTTCGCCAACCAGACTGTAAATGCATACATTACACATTTCTGGGCCTGCAAAGAATGTGGCCGGTGGGAGCATGGCTCCATTCTTGTCAGGGTTTAGCTGAGTAACCAGCAAGTTCTCAGGGCTAAACTTGAACACGGGTGCCTTAAGTCCCAGCTCTGAATTTTCCTGTTCTATTTCTGGGCTCGACGGCACATAACAACAACAATATTTCTGGACATGAGGTGACAGGCTCTGTATGAGAAGAACCCAGCCAGGCAATACCACTCCCAATGCCCACCCAATTGGTCCCCTTAAAATGTCTATCCAGACAGATTTATACGCACACAGGTGGGCTCAGCCGTCATCTCCTCTGACATGTGGGATGGCACTGGGGAGGTCGGCACAGCCATCTCCAGCCTCAGGTACAGGGCACCTAAGTATCTTTTGACTTTACATTTGTGCACCTTAATATTTGTTCATTGTACAACAAAGATTTAAAAATGAAAAGAAAAATATTCCTCTACAGTCCATCCCCATGGTCCTCAAGGGAAAGAGAATAGAAGTAATTTATTGCATAATTACCTTAAACTAGGTGTCTTAAATAAACTCAAACTTTTCTCTGTCGAGCTGGAATTAATACACAGCTGACTGTCCAGCAGGTTCTCAGAGGCTGTAAATCACATGAGGAGAAATTGCCCTTCTTTCTCCTGTGGTGCCTCTGGTGGATTTGAGCTGCCAGTAAAGCACCATGTTAGGTTAACAAAGCCAAGGGCTAGACTATGCAGCATCAATTTAATTCTTCAACCCCATCTTCTATTTCTCAAAGACAAAAAGTGACCCTGGGAGAAGTGGATGTATTTGGTCTCAGTTTGCACTTGGCAGAACTGGAATCTCGTTCTAGGTCTCTCATTGTCGCCCAGCCAGAAGTGACTCATAGCTGACCCCCCATTGGATTTCAGAGGCTGTAAACTGCATAGAGGATTGTTCATCCTTCTTCCACTGGGTCGATGGTGGATTTGAACCACTGGAGAGATGTAGCCTTGGGGTTTTTTTGCCTTTAGTTCCTCCAGAATTCTCCTTTTCTAGGTCTGGAAAGGTAAAAATTAAAAAAACCAAACAACAACAAATCCTGATGATTCTTATAGTTATATAACCAAGTGTGTCGGTATGGAGACATGCAGTATGGCTCAGAAGGCTAAAAATAACCCAAATGTCCTTAGCAGGAGAATCCTTAAAGAATCATATAGCTTTAACCAGTGGATGATCTGCTGAAGTTATACAAGGAATGAGGCATTTCTTTACACACTGACATGGAAAGTTCTCCAAGCCAGGCTGAGCCGTTATCTTTAATACATGAACTCATTCTTCCTTTGTGCACACTAGAACATTTCGGAGAAGGCCAAAATCCTCTTTGCTCTCATCCACAAATTCTGGATATACATACACATAGGTACACACCCCAAAGTTTTGTCAGATTTTTAATATCCTTTTAAAAACTGTCTTTAAAAAATCAATTTGATTGAGGTGTTTATATTTACATACAATGAAATACATTCATTGAAAGAGCACAGTTTGGTGAGTTTTTGCACCACCACTGCTCATGTCTGCCATCCCAAAAGGATGGCAGCTCATCTCCCCAGCTCATCTCCCTCCACTCACCACAGGAGAAAACACTCAGTCTTTCTCCATTAAGAGTGATGTTAGCAGTGGGTTTAGCAGTGGGGTTTTTGTAGATGATAGCCTAGTGGGTAAGGAGTTGCACTGCTAACGCAAAGGCAGGTGGTTTGAATACACCTACTTCTCCACAGGTGAAAGATGGACACTCTCCTCTCCTGAGATGTATTTACAGCTGCTGAAAACCTGCTGGAGGGTCAGCTATGAGGTGGTTCTGATTCGATTATACATAATAACAACAACATACATATCAAATATATAAATGTATATTTTTTCTATGAATCAAAATAAATATAAATGCAATATGCAGGTGACACAGCCTTGCTGGCTGAAAGCAAAGAGGACTTGAAACTTGCTGATGCAGATCAAAGACTACAGCCTTCAGTATGGATTACACCTTAAAACAGAAATCCTCATAACCAGATCAATAACAAAATCATATATGTGGAGAAAAGATTGCTGTCATCAAGGGTTTCCTTGTACTTGGATCCACAATCAATGCCTATAAAAAGCATTAGTCAAGAATTCAAACAACATATTGCATTCAAAAATTAATCACAGCTGTGGCAAAAGACCTCTTCAGAGTGTTAAAAGGCAGAGATGGCGCCTTGAAGACTAAGATATTCCTGACTGAAGCCATGGTTTTCGATTGTCTCTGTCTCATGTGGTAAAGAGTTGCACTGCCATCCCAAAGGCACACCATTTGTTTGACTCACTGGTTGTTCTGTGAGATAAAGATGGACAACCTCCTCCTGTGCAATTTACAGCCTCTGAAAACCTGCTGGAGGATCAATTGAGACAATTCCGATTCCACAGCACATAACAACAGATATGCATGTGAAAGTGAGACAGTGAATATAGAAGACTGAAGACGAACTTAGTGCCTTTGAATTATGGTGTTGGCAAAGAATACTGAATACACCATGAACTGTCAGAGACCAAACAAATGTCTTGAAAGAAGTAATGACGATGAGACTTTGTCTTACCTACTTTGAACATGTTAGTAGAGAGGCTCGGTCCCTGGAGAATGACATCATAAAATAGAAAGTGAGTGGGAGAGAAGACTGTTGATGAGATGGATTGACACAGTTGCTACAACAGTGGGCTCAAACACAAACAGTTGTGTGGATGGCACAGAACCAGGCGGCGTCCTGTCCTGTTGGTGCTGGGTTGCTAACTCGACAATACCCAACAACAAAATCGAGGGTGATGGTTGTTGTCAGATGCTGTTAGCTCCGCCATTGTGAGTCAGAATCAATGGCAGTGGGTTTGGTTTATGGATTTGGACATAATGAGTTTTATGACCTTGACTTTACAACTACATTTATATTTTAGTCTCTACACTTTAAAATACATCATTGATGTAACAATTACCCATTTGAAAAATGTTATGTGCCATCAAGTTCCCTGCGACTCATCGCAACCCTATGTACAATACTTCTGAACCCTGTCCTATCCTGAGCCAATTTCACTGTTTCTGACACACCTGCTCCCATTGCCCAAGTTACTATGTCAATCCATCTCCTCCAGGGTCTTCCTTTCCTGTGCTGTCCCTCCACCCTTCCAAGCATGATGTCCTTCTCCAAGGACTGGGCCTTCCTATAGAGAAGGTTTTATCTATGTTCTCGGCACCTAGCACAGTGTTCAGTGTCCAGGAATTGTGAAGAAATGATAATTCAGACAACCCCTGAAATAATAAGTTCTCTGGAGGCATCATCACGGGATTCTGGGAAAAGCATGGATTTAGCCAAGCCAGGACCCTCTGTCACCTCTACCAATGCCTGGCTGTGTGCTCTTGAGCCGTTTCATTAACCTGTCTGAGCCTCAATTTCCTCATATGAGGAATTCATACTTGCTACCTAGGTTGCTGTGAACTATGGAGTTGGCTACGGTTCTTCACGAAACACCAAGTGTCATATTTTAGTGAGATGACATTGGTCTTACCCTCTCTGGTTGGGATAACAGCCCAAGTCCCACATTTAATCCCTGTATGTATTGGTTCTGATAGTACTGGTCACCTGATGTGTCCTCCCTCCTTAGTGACATCTCTGAAAAATCCATATTGTGATTTTTAATCACAAAAGAAATTACATGTTCATCATAACACACTCAAACCTAGACTTACCCATTGTTAAATTGGCTTTGTTTCCAGGCTTTGTGTATGTGTGTGTTTTCACAATTACTCAGACTTTAGTTTTTTTCCATAAATGGGCTCATATACATAATACTCTCCAGGGGTTTTTTTTTTCTTTACTGAACAGTGTATTGCAGAAATCTTTCCAAATCCATGTTTTGAGCCTTCTTTGTTCATCTTAACAGATGCAGAGCATACCCCCACTGCTCCGGTTTTCTGTACTATGCAGGATGCTGGCATGGAATCTCACTCACCTGACCTGTCCTTCCATCTCCCCACCAACTTTATTCTCCAGCCCCTCCACCTATGACCCATGCTGGACAGCCGCCTGGTGCTTCAAACGCAGAGGCCTCAGCATTCCCCACCTGTGCGGCTCTCATTTTCCAACACACGCAACACCTGCCTTGTGCCCCCAGTACACTCACACCTACCCAGCACCCCTAAGCACATTACACACACACCTGTGTTATACCCCATGCAGCTTATACCCGCCCTGCAAATTCACATATGTCCCTGGGCCTCCTTTTTCTCAGGTCTGAGCTGTGCCCCTGATGGACACTGACATGTGTGGTGTCCTCACTCCTTTACATGCACACAACTCACCTACTCTGTCCCTGTTTGCTGCCCCCAGGCCTTCCCTCAGAAGCTGGTGGAGCCCATCTGTGCTTTCTGGAACTTCAGCAGCAAGTGAGTTTCTTTACATAAGGCATTTGGGGCTTTTTTCTTAAAACACTCACCCTGCTCAGATATGCATTTGGTCTTCACTCACCAACCATCTTACAGAGGTGACTTACATTCTACTCAGGTTCAGGCGAAGCTGTGGCTAGAGAATTTGTTACACAGGGGATAGTGAGCTCCCTGTCTGGGGTGTGAAGTGTGCAAGCCCATACTGGCAAGTGCCTGGGAAGAGAGTCATCTCTCAAATGAGTGTCCGGCTTGATTATATGTGAGGTCAGGGACCTAGAGTGTTGGAAGGGACAGACAAGGTCACAGAAATTAACCCCAGCTTCTTTTCAAGGACCCTTAGCTGAAGGAATGAACATTGATGACTTTGCTTAGTAATTACTGCAGTTAATCACTGATAATCAGTTGATGGTATCAGCCTGCCTGTCCTCCCACCATCCTTGAAAAGGTTAAGTACATTTGACAGATTGGAAACTGAGGTCGAGGGGGTGCAGTGACTTAGTCATATAAGCCTGTAAAGGAGAAACGCTTTTCCCTCCACAAACCCTTCTCTTGCCATATTCCCCCACCCCATGTCCACTCCTTCAAGAGCCCCTCTGTTTTCAGCAATGTGCCAGGACTCCACTGCATGCTTCTGCAACCACAGCACCAATTTTGCCGTTACAGGTGTGTGACACCCAGGTGAGCACCTCGGGGTGAGGAAGAGGTGATGTCAGCACCAAGTCTTAGGAGATGAACAAGCGTTGAGCACAAAAGCAGCCCCTGATGAAAGCCAGGGAACAATGGCTTTTAAGGGCTGGCATGGATGACTTGTCACACGACGCTTCCTCTGCAAGACCCAGGAGTTAAAGATGAAATTACAAGGTGATCACATGGTAGAGGTGAACATGGGTCAGATCGCATAGGGTGTTACATGCTGGCTCACAAGCTGGACCCTACTGGCAGGGACAACCTTGGCAGAGTGTTAAACAGATGTTGGATTCGCCTGTACAGCACCCTCTGGGGTCTGGGAGTGCTATTGCAGGTGACTAGGACAGTGAGGGGAATGTGGCCTTGTGGGATTGAGGGAGGAGTAAGAAGCCGGTAAGGAATAAAGGTTTTGCCACAGGGGATGAGGGTCTCTGAGCATGAACACAGCAGAGACGGGCTCTTAGGTGATACCATGGGGGTCTGAGATGCCCATGGTTTTGTGGCCCTGGTGTTCCAGGAAGAAGTGAAGAGCTAGTCATTCATACTGTGTGCCAAGACGACAGTGAAAGTAAGAAGAGGGCTACCTCTTAAAGGACAGGTGGGAAAACCACACTGCAGGAGGAGATCCGGACAGGGTGAGGCATAAGCCAGAGGGGCTCGGAGTGATCACACACTCCGAGGTGAAGTGAGTTGGTCAGAGGAGTATTCAGGGCCTGAGACCCGGGAATCCTGAGGTGACTTGGCATGTTGAGGAACATGCTAGAATAAAACATGTTATCAAATGTGTGTCTCATGTACAAACAGGACATAAACATTCTTCCATGTTCAGCCCCAATACTAGTGGCATTCACCTAAATGTGGTGTCACACATGACCCCCTCCCACTATGGCGGTCACTTCCCATCTAGGGCTCTTCAAACTCAAAGCCATTGAGTCAGTTCTGATTGACCCCCAACCCTCTATTAGGTTTTCAAAGTTGTAAATCACAACAAGTGGAGATAGCTCATCTTTCTAAGAAAGCAACTGGTGGATTCGAGCCACCACTTGGGCCCTTTGGGTTAGCAGCGCAGTTCACCCCAGACCACACCACGAGGGCTCCTTCTAGTGCTGCGTGTTACTTTTCCATCTCGTCGGAACTGGCCTATAGCTGACCCCCCAGAAGGTAGTCAGAGGCTGCAAGTCACATAAAAGGCGAATGTTCATCTTTCTCCCACAAAGCAGCTGGTGCATTTGAACTGCATGCTTTTGGGATTGTGGCACTACTTCTCACCACTGGCCACCAGAACTCCTTGCCCTTTAGAGCTTAATAGCTGTCAAATGAGTGGTAACTGGGCCCACTGGGCCTATTTTGAGTGAGCCAGTCAACGAAGATACACCAAGCCATGTTTGTTTATTCCTATGTGCAGACCTCCACCCTGCCATCACCATTCCACTTAAGTACAGAGAAAAATGGGTTGGGAGTGGAGGTGAGGCTTGGAGTCCACCCATTAGGAGTGAATTCTGGTCTGAGTCAGGTCAGAGTGGTGACAGGTGACAGTACTCTCTGGTCTCTTGCTCCATGCAGAGAGGCCCTGAGGAGGAGTCACTGCTGAGGACTCTCGTTTGTGGGCTGTGGTGTCTCTGTGTCCTTGCCACCACCTTCATGCTCTTCCTGGCAGCCAGGTGAGGAGGACCCCCTCCTCCCAGCACAGGGCCTCATCACCACACAACCTCCATTTCTACCCAGCCACCTGGCACGCTGAGCCCTGCCTGCCCCACAGGGGCCCTCATGCCTTCCTGAGGTCAGGGGTCCATACCTTACCATGGGAGGCCCTTGGTGGAAGGCTTTCCCTTAGGGTGCACTGTGTCCTCCCTGCACAGATCCCCTCTGCCTCCATGTCCCAGATCATTAGCCCAACTGCAGGGGAACCCAGGGGACCCAGAGGAGGGGCAAGGGCCCTGAGATGTCTCTGTTAATAGATTCTTCTCGTTTAGGGTCCACAGATCAGAGAGTCACAGTCCACAAGAACCTCACCTTCTCCTTAGCCTCTGCAGAGGGTCCTCAAGGCCAGTGAATGGGCAAAGGCCAACAAGGTGGGCAGCCAGTGGGTGGGTTGGAGCTCAGGCAGATCTGGACAGCACAGCTACTCTGATTTTCACTTGCTTTATTTCCCTGGGGAGGAGAAAGGCCTAGAGAACAGTGGCTGGACTGGACCCAAGCACTGCCCAGAGACCATACCCTCTGGTACCTCCCTGGGTGGCCATGATGGGAATCCCTCACTCCCTGCAGGTGGTATGTGTGGCTGTCACAGCTGTGATGCATCTTCTCTCCTGGATGCTGGTAGAGGGGCTGCTGCAGTGGAGGAAAGTGGTGGCTATGAGCATGGAGCATGCGTCCAGGCCCAAGGATAAGGCCCTACTACACCATGGGCTGGAGTGAGGGGCCTCAGATCCCAGCTCTTGCTCAGTTCTCAACTCTGCACAGCATCCTAAATGCTTGGCCCCCATCATTTGGCCCCTCAAAACTGCTTGGCACCTAGTACTACCAGGTCCTACCACCACACAATACCCAGTGTCACATGGTGCCCAACACTACCTAATACCCATCTATACCCGGCACCCAACATGGCCTAGTACCCAATACCACCCAACACACATTCCCACTCAGCACCATCACTAGCCAGCACCCAGTGCCCATCTCTGCCTGGTATCCAGCATTACCTAGTATCCAATACCTTGGCACCCAACTATACATACCCACCACCCATCTCCAAAAGCAGTTCAGTTGTATGAGCTCTGCAGCCTCAAACTACGCCCAATTTTAATTTTTCTAAATCGTCCTGTTTCAGTTAACTCCTCTAGTGCTATCTCCCTATTCTTTGAACTGCTAACCCCTAAGCCAGCTGCATCCATCTATCTCTTTTTTTCTTTCCAACCTTAAACCCTCAACCTAATCCAGCACTCCCTACTCCCAGACTGCTTATGACCCCAGTGAACAGAACCAAGTTCTCCCAACCTTGTTCCCCACTTCTTTCCAGTACAGATGTGACAATGACATTGCTGTGGCTACAGCCCCGGAGAAAGGCTGTGTACTGACGGGAAAGAGTGGGTGACTTGGTCTTGCGGTCCCTCTTCCTCCCTCTGGCATGCCCGTGGCCATCATGGTGATCAGCCTGGCCATATCGTCCCCTGACTATATGGCTGCTGGGCACTGCTGGCTCAGCGTGCACATAGAAACCATCTGAGCCTTTGTGGGGCCGGGGCGGGGACATCTGGGGGCCTGGAGGGGAAGGGAGTTCCAGGGGCAGGGAAGCCCCTGTCAACCACTGATGCCAAGTGTACAGACCAATTCCTGCATCCTGTCCGCATGGTGATGGTCTCTGTGTCCAGCACCCACCAGCGCGCCCATGTGCTGAGCCCACAGCCCCACCTGCAGCAGCAGATCGGGATCCAGTATGGTGAGGCCCAGACTGGGTGAGTGCAGGGGGATGTGGGAGAACATGGGACTCCATATCCCCAGTGCCCATTACCCCACTCTCTGCCACCTCCAGGCCTTTGAGAAGGGTCAGACTTTAAACTTGAGAACTTTATAGACCCACTGAAGGTTGCATCTGCACCTGAGCCTTAAGCTATGGTCCTGGTCTGAGGCTTCAGCATCTCTCGGGGACTATTGTCCCCTGAGTGAGCTCTGGTGGTTAAGAGCTACACTGACAACCTGAAGCACATGGTTCAAGTCCACCAGCTGCTCCTTTGTAGAAAGCTGGGCCATCTTCTCCCATGTGATTTACTGCCTCTAAAAGCCCACTGAAGGGTCAACTATGAGTTGGTTCCCACTACATGGTACATAACATAACTCTCCGCTGGAGTGCTGAGGGCCAGAGGGAGCCCCCAGGCCATCTTCCCCCCTCCCACAGCCCTGCTTACTCTCCCACAGGGCCATAGTGAAGCCAGTGCTGGTCCTGCTGCCTGACCTGGGCCTGACCTGGCTGGTCAGCATCCTGGTACACATCAGCCCAGCCTGGGCCTCTGCTGCTGTGGGCCTCAACTCCTTCCAGGTACCTGCAAACCCTGGTCTGCCTGGAATTGGAGCTCTAACATTCATCATGAGATAGTGAGCACTCCTCATGTGAGGTGCCTAACAGCATCTGAGGATGAGGTGGGCGGGCACCTTACCCCCTTCCCTGGCAGACTCTTTCCTCCAAGCTCCATGCTCCCAGATTTCCATAGGCTTGAATTCCAGCTCTGCCTTCTTTGCCATATGACCCTGGCTGTGTTTCTCCACCCTGACACAGGGTATCCTGTTGCCATGGTGATTTCGCCAGTTCTTTGCCAGGCGCATTTCCTTACCCAGGATAGGGTAGGTCTTCAATGCACTCATCCCTCCCTGTGCCACTGAATTGGGTGGAGACGTAGCCAATGTCACTGGAACTGCCATTTCTGCCACCCTCCCAACCCCTTCTCATGGTCTCTGCCTTTGAGTCTCATTTCTGTCTCTGAATTTTCTCTGAGCATTCCTTCTCTGCCTTACAGGCACTGTCTCCCTTTGTGGCCCCGTCTCTTGGCTGTGTCTGTTTTGTCCATCAGGGACCCACTTATCCCCCCTCCTTGGCTTCTCTTGACATCTCCCCATCTGGCTCTTTACCTCTGACTCCTTTAGTTTTCTGACTCATGCCCTGTCTCTCCATCTCCACAGTTAAGACCCTTTCCTGCCCCCTTCCGGTCAGCCTCAGGGCATCCTTGAGGGTTTCCTGGTGAGGAGCAGGAAGGTGTGGGGCTGAGTGTCCCGTAGATGTTCATGGGACCCTCTCAGGCAGGGCAGGCTGAGGGGTCCTTTTCAGAGGCCCACTCCTTGCTTCTCACTCCAGACCAAACCTTTTCCTTCTCTCTTTTCTCATACTGTCTGTCTCTCCCCAGCCCCCTACAATCCTGTCCGCCAACCCCCTCTCTCATCCCTTTGTCTATCTTGGGCAAAAGCTGGACAACACTTGCCCTCAGACACTTCCTCCCTTTTTCTTGTTAAAGTGGCCGGAGAGCAGGTTTGGGCTAGAGGGACTGGAATCAGCCTCAGAAATCAGTCTTCGGGCGAGTTATTTCCATCTGACCCCTGTGCCAAGTCTCATGGAGGGAAAGCAAAGCCTCACTCCTACAGCCAGCTGTGCCTCATGCTTACCTGGCTGATGGAGGCCTGGGAAGCCTGGCCTAACTGAAACAGGACTCAGTTTCTACATCTATAGGAACCAGTTACTGCTGAGTCAGTTCTGATCCCATGTGTGTCAGGATAGAACTGTGTGTTGCAGTTTTCGAAGCTGATTTTTTTTTTGAAGTAGATTGCCAGGCCTTTCTTCTGAGGGTGTCTTTGGATGGCCTTGAACTTCTTGTCTTTTGCTCAACAACCAAGCTCATTAACTATTTGAATCCTCCAGAGACTCCACATCTTTATACAGAGGATCATATATTCACCCAATGGCGTCAATTGAGATAATATTTACAAAGGACTAAGTACAGTACCTTGCATATGCTGGGGCTGCCTGAAGTGAGCTTTCATTTATTCATTTAACAAATACTTCCCTGGTGCCAGCTCATGCTTCATGTGGGGAATATGGTAGTTTGTGAGATCAAAGAATTCACCTTTTTGGAGGTCTCAACCTTAGAGAAAGACAGACACCAAAGTCATTCAACCACAGTGTGATGCTGTTGGCTGAGAGACTCAAAGAGAGAGAAGTTTTTAACTGAGACCTGACTACTAGGTAGGAGGGGAGGATGAGCCTGTTTTAAGGCAGAGGAGCAGAGTGGAATCAAGCAGAAAGGAGGGCCAGACAATGCAGAACCAAACTTCATTCAAATGTACTAGGGAGCTCTGGTGGCCTAGTGGCAAGAAGCTGTGCTGCGATCCCAAGGTAACATAGTTTGAGGCCACCAGCTGCTTTAGTCTCCTCCCGTGTGGTTAACTGCCTCTGAAAACCTGCCAGAAGGTCAGTTATCGGTCAGTTCTGACTCCACAGTACACAACAACAGAGGGCATGAGGGGTATTAAGCAGATGCTGGAGATGGAGATGGAGATACAGATACAGATGTTGGCTGAGAGGGTTTTTGGCGGGGGGAAGAATCTTTGCTTGATGAAAGTAGGTGGGAGACACAATGGGAAAGGGCAGTGCGGAGGCTGCAGAGAGAGCGGGTAGATGAGATGTAAAGGGCTGGAAAGTGCCAGGACCTGTCCTGATGACTGTGGTGGTGGTGGTGGTTGTAGGGGTGTTAGGGTGGTGTCTTGGTTGTCCTATTACAACAGAAATACCAAGTGATTTAACAAGCAAGTTCTAGTGATTTAACAGGCATGGTAGAAGATCCTTATCGCTTCTGCTTCTGGTTTCTTGGAGATTCCCATGTGTCTGGACATCCATCTTCCCTTACATCTGGGAGGTTCCCAGTGCAAGGACCTCGGGCCCAATGGACACTGCTCCTAACTCTCCTTTCTTAGCAGTAGTGAGGTCTCTCTCTTTTCTGCTTGACTGACTTTCTTTTTTCTCTCCTTAAAAAAAAAAGTATGTTTCTCAAACAAGGGTGCAACTTAAGTTGGGTTTTACTTCAATGGTAGAGGGAGTACTGGTCCCAGTGGCAAGAAGCTGGACTGCAATCCCCAAACACATGGTTCAAATCCACCAGCTGCTCTGCAGGAGAAAGCTGGGCAATCTCCTCCCATGCGATTAACTGCCTCTGAAAACTCATCAGCGGGTCAGTTATGGGTCAGTTCCAACTCAACAGTACACAACAACAACAAGAAGAAGAAGGGTACAGCTTAATGAGTGGGATATGAGTCACAGCCTCTTAGAAAGCTGTGACTCAAGATACAACCCCCCATAATCCTTCCTTCTTAATGCCCAGAGTTTAGAATTTACAGCCTATCCAACCTGTGGTCAAAACGGAGGACAACTGCACATTACTGGGATTCATGGCCTAGCCAAGTTAACACATATTTTGAAGGGACCTGGTTCAATCTGTGACAGGTGGTAGCTTCCTGGTTAGTGTCTGGGACCCTTGGGAACATCACAGTTTTCGGTTTACTGAGCTTCAGTGTAGGCTGTTGCTTTTGGGGTTGTCCAAACAGAATTCTAGGTTCCCAATCCCATCTGCTGGGAAAGGAGATCTAAGGATCAGGGAGGATGAATGGGGGTCAAGAGGCTGAAATAGGCTCGCTTGCTTGCTCTCATAGAAAGTCATAGCTGCAGCCTTCAGTGGGAACAGGAAAAGGACAGGGTTTAGGGCCATCTTTCTGTTGTCTCTGAATGACACTGGGTGTGGCCACTGGGGGCCGCTGCATCCCCAGGCAAGGCTAAAGGCCAGGCAGTGGGGTGGGGGGTGATGGCAGCGACAACTGCCCGCTGGGTCTATCTCAGGGTTTGTACATCTTCCTGGTCTATGCTGCTTGCAACCGAGAGGTGAGCGGTGAGTTGAGGGAGGAAAGGGGAAGAGCTGGGTGCAAGGACCGAGGACCGAGGACCGGGGTTGTGCCCAAGTGAGTTTATCTGCAGGGACTTCACACCCATGGGGTCACCACACCCACTATTGTCTGCCCTCAGGTCTGGAGCACCCTGCAAAGAACTACAGAGAAGAAGGCGGTCCAGGTGTTCACAGTGGGGACCATCGTGGGGGTGGGAGGGGCTGGAGGCCCTGCCCATAGCCTGGATCCAAGTGTCACCCATTCACTGTCCTTTCAGATCCCTTCAAACCCCGCATCCAGCCCTCGACTCCCAGATTGTTGGGAGGCAGCCCTGGACAACACCTCAGCATTTGTCGCACCCTGGAAGAACATAGCCCGCAGAGGTATGGGCCCCACTAGTCTCTCTGAGGGCTGCCTGAGCTTTTCCCTGCAGGCATAGCTGGGGGGACACCCACAGATTCTAGTCATTCATTTGGAAGACCAAAATCTGAGACCCAGGTTACTGGGCCCTAGGTGTCTTAGAAATGGCACAGCTCACCATCCCCCAACTTCCCAAGAAGCAGGGACCCCCTAATGCCCAGCTCAGAAGTGGGGCACTTTCCCTGGATTGAATTGGGGATAAGGTTCCCACATCTTGAGGTAGGGTGTGGGGTCCAGTCCTGCTTCCACCAGGAGTTCCAGCTCAATTGCTGTGTGTTTATAAGTTACTTTCCTTCTCTGGACCTCCATTTCTTCATCCTTAAAATCTTCGGTAGTTTAATGGTCAGGAATTGCTCTGCCAATGTAAATAAATAAAGGTAGACCAGTGTGAAAACCCCAGCTCCTCCACAGGAGAAAGATGAGCAGTCAACTCTTGTGCAATTTACTGCCTCTGAAAACTGCTGCAGGGTCAGCCTTTGGTTCCAACTCCATGGCACACAACAACAATCTCTCCAAGGGAGTTGTAGTGGCTGAATGGTAAGGATTTGCACTGCCAACCCAAAGGCACAGGGTTCAAATCCATCAGCTGCTTCATCACAGAAATCTCCCGTATGATTTACTGCCTCTAAACATCTGCTGGAAGGTGAGCTATGAGTAGGTTTCGACTCTACAATACACAACAACAACAATATCTCCAAAGTGCTGAAAGGCAAGATGATCAGTTTAAAGACCAGGGTGCATCTCATTGAAGCCATGGTATTGTTCCACTGCTTCTATGCATCTGAAAGTTGGACATCTAAAGAGGAATTGGTCTGCCTTGGAGGAAATGCAACCAAGGTGCCTTTTAAAGGTAAAAATGGTGAAACAGCATCTCAAATACTTTGGGTATGTTGTCAGGAGGGCCAGTCCCTGGAGGAGGACATCATGCTTGGAAAAGTGGAGGGTCAGTGGAGAGGAAGATTTTCTTTTTTTCTTTTTAAATTTATTTTATTTCATTATTTTTTGTATGTACCATCAAATCAGATCTGACAGGTACAGGAGGAGATTGTTCCTCCTTCTCCAGCAGAGGATCTGGTGGATTTGAACCGTGAGGATCTGGTGGATTTGAATCGTGCACCTCTGAGACTGCAGTTAGGAAGAGTTTCAAGATGGATTGACACAGTGTCTGCAACAATGGGCTTGAGTTTGCCAGAGGTTGTAAGGATAGCACAGAATAGGGCAAGGTTCATAGGGTCTTTGAGTCATAGTGGACTTGACCGCACCTAACAACAATCTGCGGGCTAAGTCTCTGAGTGGATCTCTCTGAAAGTGGGATTCCCACCCAGGGTGGGGGGAGCAGAGGAAGAGCTTCCTGCCAAAGTCTCTTCAAATTCACCAACACAGTTGTTTCCCACCCACTAGGAACTCATGGTCCCAGGACCTTCTCCATTGCAGAGTCTGAGAGACTGGTGAGGCATGGCAGGGAAGGGCTCTGGCAAGTGTGGCTGGGAGAGTTGGGAGCACCACAGTGACTAGGGTGGGCTGAGGTGGGGGATTCTGGAGGCCCCTGTTCCTCAGTTACTGGTTGAAGAGCCCTGGGACTCGCTGACTGAGGAGGACTGAGCATAATCTCTGTACGCTGGCAGCGCCTGAATGCCAAGGCCACTGTGGGGAGGGAGAAGTCATCACTATGGTAGCGGAGGGCCTCAGGGCAAGAGGGAGTGAGGAAGTGAGGACCCACCTCCCCCTGACAAACATCCTCTGTCCCCAGGCTGTGGAACTGACAGCATTCAAGACTTCAGGTGTGCTTCCCCCCACAAGGGGATATTTTTGTGCCTTTTGGACTGGACACCCCCTTCGCACTACACCCTTAGGAGAGAAGTGTTTTCAGAAACAACTCCATCCCATCAATTAAGGGGCTCCTTCTAGTCTCTGGTCCCTGCTCCTACCATGTTTTCCATGATCATTCCGTGGGCTGTGTCAGTGAAAATGTATTCCTGGGAAAAGGTTAGTTCAGGAGTCAGTTTGGGGAGCCCCTTTCCAGAGATGATGTGCCAGGGGGCCAGTGAACAGGATTCGAGAACCTGTCTTCTTCCACTTCAGCAACCCAACCTCCCAGCCTTATTGCCTCTGAGGGTCCTTGTCCTGATGCCTCACAATCTGACAAGTCCAATGAAGAAGGAGGACTTTCCTCCAAGGCCTCAGTCTCCCCAGCTCAACAGCTGATAAGCAAGCAGCCTTGTGGGCAGGTGGCAAGGTTGGAGCTTCCCCGAGTCTTACTCAGAAGAAGTGTGAGGCCTGAAAGCTCAGTGTCAGCCTCTCTGGGCCTGAGTACCCATGATCTCCTGAGTATCCTTGATACAGACAACCCCTGAGGAGCCGGCCCACTATAACCCAGTGCCGCACTGTGAGATCCTCGGAGGAGAAGAGTGGGGAGTGTGGAGCTCTGACTGGGACGCTGCTAGATTCCAAGTGTTCAATTTGAAAACCTAGGCATATGTGCTGTTATCTTCCCATTGTCCGCATTAGGAAGCTGAGGCATAGAAGAGAGCAGCCACCAGCCAAGGTCAGTGTCAGAACCGGGGTCAGGGCTACACCCACAGAAGCAGAAACAGGTACAGCAGTAGTCATGTGAGCATATACATGAAAAAATTAGAACCCAGGTCAGTGTGACTCTTGGATCCCCAGCTAGCTGTCCACCAGCTATGGGCTCAGTGTTTGGAACCTTAACTTCCCCCTCTGCAAAATGGGCTAGTTGAACCCTTTGCAGGCCTGTTGGGAGGGCACAGGGACTCTGCACTGGTAATAAGCATTCTGAGAGGACCTAATTGAACCCCCTCCCTGAGATCCCAATCTCCCCACACCCCCACCCAGCCCCTGCAGGAGCAGCAGAAACAAGAGAGCTGCAGCGGGCGCCTCTGCTCAAGTGACAGCGCCTTTGTCTTCATTGAATGGGTGCGTTGCTAAGGCCCCTCTTAGCAACGGAGCCGCTTCCACTTCGGTCCAAGGCCTGGCCCCACCCTCTGGACGCCCAACTCTGACCTTAACCTAGAGACTCCCCCACAGTCTCACCTCGACTTGAGTAACAGTTCTGCGGGAGTGGGAGGAGGCAGCAAGCTGGTGTCCTCTGTGGCCTCTTCACCATCCTCCTAAAAGCTAGCCCAGCCCACAGGGCATGCAGGTTGGGGAAGCAGGCAAAGAGGGGATCAGGATGACCACCCAGGATAAGTCAGGCCAGGAGTCCTACCAAAGATCTCCCTCCTCTCACCTCAGTACCAGCCTCCTCGCCATCCTGTGTCTCCACCTGTATCTCAGCTAGCTCAGGCCACAGAGGCTCATTTTCTTCCCAGGATTCTAGAAGGGCTTCCAGGACTTTTCTCCAAACCCCACTCCAACTGAACCACTCTGCCAAGAGACCTTGGGCCTGGGGACTCATTCAGCATCAGATGGAAGGAAGGCCCAGCTGAAAGCCTCAATCACATCCTACCTCCTCTTGCCTCAGGCTTTCCCTCCTTTGAATGGGAGCATGAACTCCTGTCCTGGTACTCCCAGTGCCCCACCAGGCCCACAGTTCAATCCCCTACCTGTTTGCCTGAGATTTACTCTTCTCCTCCACCTTGTCCCACCTGTTCTGGCATTCTCATGTGCCTGCAATGTCTTTGGTAATAAAGGGTACTGTCAAGGCTCTGCCCATCTCTCTGGGGTCCTCATTGCCTGAAGAGAAGGAGGGGATCCAAGAAGCTCTAGGAGAAAAGAGGGAACAAGACTCCAGGGCTCTACGTGTCCCCAACTTCATCATCACTTATTAGCACCTAAGGGAGCTCTCTCTTAAGGGAGAATGCAATTATCTGGGACTTGACGGTACACAACAACAAGAAGGGAGCTCTGGTGGCCTAGTGGGTAAGGAGTTGTGCTGCCAAACCTAATGAACATGGTTCAAATCCACCAGCTGCTCAGAAGGAGAGAGACATGCAATCTCTTCCCTGCAACTTACTACCTAGTGGAGGGTTCTAACTTCTTGATGGCACATAACAGCAACCATGTGTTTGCAGGACAGAGCACTAGGAGTACAGATGTTGTCGTTGTTGTTATGTGCCATCGAGTTGCTTGCAACTAATAGCGACCCTATGTACAACAGCCCTAAACTCTGCTCTAACCTGTGCCAATCGCACTGTCTCCGACACACCCATCCCAATTACCCGAGTCATTGAATCAATCCACAGCCCTAAAATCTTCTCTGTCCTGTGCCAATCGTACTGTCTCCGACACACCCATCCCAATTACCCAAGTCACTGAATCAATCCACCTTATAGAGGGTCTTCCCCTCCTGTGCTGTCCCTCCACCCTACCAACCATGATGTCCCTCTCCAAGGACTGGTCCCTCCTTACAACATGTCCAAAGTATGTTAGACGAAGCCTCATACTTTGGAGGACAGATAGTCTTTGGTATTTTGTGCTACCAATCAAAATGCCATACATCTCTAGCAGTTCAAATCCGCCGGCTGCTTCATGAGAGAAAGATGGGCAGTTTCCTCCTGTTAAGATCGCTATGGGTCAGAATAGCCTCATCAGCTGTGAGTGAGCGAGTGGCCCTACAGCCACCAGGTGGATTTTTTCTTACTCATAGGGATACTCTGTTTGGCTTCTGTGGCTGTGAATCAAAGGACATGTCCCATCAGTGGATTCAAACCTGCAACCTTTCTGTTAGCAGACCAACACACAGAACTGTAGGCAAAAAAGAAATCTGCCTTGGGAGAAATGCAGCCAGAATGCTTCTTAGAGTCAAAGATAGAAAAAACTCCATCTTCTTACATGTTTTGGGCCCATTATTAGAAGGGGCCAGTCCCTGAAGATAATCATCATGCTTGGAAAAGCAAAGGGTCCGTGAAAATGAGAAAGACCCTATGAGATGTATTGACACAGTGTCTGCAGCTATGAGCCTGCACACAGCAGACAGTGAAGGTGGCACAGGACTGGGAAGGGTTTCATTCAGAGCTGACTCAAGGGCACGTAACACCACCACCACTCTCTGCTAGGCCAGTGCTAAGGCTTTATGCCCTCAAGCTTTGTGTCATCACCTCCGCCCTGGGACCTCTGTACAGGAGAGGCTCGAGGTCTCATATGGAGGCAGCAGAAAAGGGAGCCATGCAGAGTAGCCAAGGCTGGGGTACTCTGTCTAGGAACAATGGAGCCACTGTTAGATTTCAGCAGAACAGTTTTCTCCGCCTACTTTGGAGGACCCTCCAACTTGCTATTGTTGGACAGGTATAGAAAGACTGGAGCCCGGAAGAGCAGTAAGGGGTGGTGCTGACCGGAGTGGCACACAAGGTGGTCCCCTCCCACCTATTTCTAATGTCCTCCTTCCTTTACCTTCAGAGGCCCCTGATCTCCTCAGAAACAACTTGTGGGGGCTAGTTGGGAGAGGCATTCTTTTCATTGTCCCTCTTTGTGCTCCTAAAACCCTTCTTCCCCCCAACCCCTCTGACAATGCCCACATATACACACCTTTCACTCTCCAGCCAGACCAACTGATTTCCACTCTTCCATCCCTTTGCTCCCACTGCCTGGAATGTCTCCAGTCTTGTCTAGTTGGTGAACTCCTAAACATCCGTCAAAACCCAGTTTGGATGACATCTCTCCTATGAAGCCTTCCTGTTCCTTCCAATCCCACTCTCACACCCAGTGTAATGAATAGATCACTTCTCATTCCTCTGGCTCAGTTCCTTGCTCCCATAGGGATCTGATTAAAACAGTGTCCTCACACTGGTCATTCCTAGAGGTGCAAAGAGGGAGAGATACACACTCTGTATATGGAAAAGTATATGCTGAGTCATGTGCCTAGGGTTTGTTGAGGCAGCCAGAGGGGACAGTCAGCAGACCAGGAATGGCCCTGAACTCGTTAAAGTGGTCAGGGTAAGTTAGGATGTGGAAGTTTGCACAATGGCCTTTCTCAGCTATGAGGCTTTCAACATGCCATTTCATCTCTGTGCCTCAGTTTCCTCATCAGCAATTCCTCATAAAAATGTTCCTTCCTCTCAGAGAAGTCCTTTTGCTCACTACTGCCACCAAGCGGTGGGAAGGACGGAAATGGAAGCAAGAGAATCTGAGCAGGGAGGCTGGCTGTGGGGAAGGGACAAGGGGTCAGTGGGGAGCAGCAGATGGACACATGGCAGAAATGGCCAGTACAGTGATGTCAGGTGGATCCAGATTTGAATCTGCTTTCCCAAATTAATGCTGAGTGACCCTGGCAAGTGAATTCTATTTTAAATTATTATTGTTCATAGGTCACTAAAAGTTGTAGTTGACCGAACAGCACATAACAACAACACAGAGGACAGCTGTTGGGACAATGAGAGGAAGGATGTTGTTATTACTGGTTAGCGCTATTGAGTTGACTACAATGCATAGCAATCTAAGAACACTAAATCTGAACCTTGCTCTATCCAGTGTCATCCTCACCTCTGTGTCAAAGTCACTATGCCAGCCCATCCTGTCGAGGGTCCTTCTCTCTTCTGCTGACCCTCCCCCTTTCCCAGCATAATGTATTTTTCCAAGGATTGGCCCCTCCCAACAACATGCCCAAAGTATGTGAGATGAAGCTTCATCATCCTTTCCTCCAAGGAACACTCTGACTGCACTTTCTCAAAGATTTATCTGTTCATTTTTTCTGCAGTCCATGAGAGAGAATCAATACTCTTCTCCAACATCACAACTCAAAGGCATTGATTCTCTTTCTGTCATCCTTTTTTGTCTAACTTTCTCAACACAGTAGGTGGTACTTAATAAATGACTGGTCCCTTCAGCCTAAGACGGGCATTGGGTGGAATCCTTGAAGGGAGAGGCATCTTTCAAACTACTGTGATATGCAGGGCTCCATGGTAATAGAGTCCAAATCTACACCTTGACACCCCCTAACCCCCAACATCAGCTAGTATTCCCTCATGTGGACAACCTCCACCTACACTGTCCTTCCAAACTTTGAACCAAAGGCGTGTGCATGCCCATCCCAGACCCACCCAAGAAAGAGGTTCAGCTTTGGTCCCAGAATGTCAACAAGCAAAAGTAGCTGGAAACTAATTGCAAAATTTATTCCAGGGCTGCAGGAGCTGGGGAGATTCTTAAGGGCACTTCTTGCTTATTTCAGGGTTGTGGGCTTCCAGCCTTGGCAGGGGCACATGTTTAAGGAGGCAAAGGTAGGGGCCAAGAGGAGGTGGTAGAAGGCAGAGGACAAGGATGCCCAGTCTCCCCAACTGGGCAGGCTCAGCGCAAGCTACAGTGGCAACATGAAGCAGGCAGACAACAAATGCCCAGCCTGACACCTGAGGCCTCTCCCTAGTGCTTGGCCTTGGAGAATGTCTTTTAGGGCCTAGGTAAGGCAGGAGACCAGCAAGCAGAGGCCTGGGTTCAAAGACTTGCAGCAAGAGGCCCAATGGGACAGAGGCAAGTGAGGGGTTCATCAGCATTGTCCCTGATTTAGAGATCCCTATACCTTCTCCAAGTTTGCCCACAGTCCTGCCCCAGAGACTCTGAGCTCCCCACCCCCAGGGCATCCCACTGTACACCCAGTGGAAGAGCCAGCAAGCAACAGCTCTTCTCTGAACTGGGGTGGGACCTCCAAAATGAGGACCCAGCACCATCTACAGGATACTTGATGTGAGGATATCTAGAGTGAAACCAGGGATCCTGATTTGCTAAGCCCCAAATCCCAGCCTTAGTCTTCAAATTTGTGTCCTGCCCCTCCACCACCCCACACACCCTTCAAAGAGTGTAAAAAACAAACAAAAACAAAACAACACGCTTCTTGACTCTAAGTCCAGCCTGGGCTGGTCACCTAGGTTTGGGGCAAGGATGTTGATTATGTCAGACTTCTCTGGTTGGAGGATAGGAAGATGATAGTAGCAAAATTATTTTCAGATGATGTGTCCAAGTTCTCCCCTACGAAGTCAGATGGGTTGGAAAGTCTGGAAAGGAGAGCTTTTCCCCCTCAGTGTCCTCTGGGGCCCCATAGCCTCTCTAATTTCACAAACTCAGTTAACTGTAGTTTACAAAACAGAAGGCTTCCCTCCTGGTCTCTGTAAGCAGGCTCCAGGGACCTTCTCACCTCCAAATGATACCAAATCAACCTCTCCCTGCTTGCCTTTGATTCCAGGAGAGGAGAAAGGGATATCTGTGTCTGACCAAAGGGAGACTGAGGCCTACCAGGGAATCCCCAACCTCCTCTCTGGACCTGAGCTCCATTCTCCAGGACAGACAGCTAGGGGAAGGGGGACAGATAGGGTGGTTAGCAGCTGTCTCCACAGGGCACTCTGAGTGGTGGGTAAGTGCCAGTGGCCAGTGGGGGCTGCCCCACCTCAGCCAGACTGTGTCCATCTTCACCCACCTTCCCAAGAACAGCATCAGAGAGCTCAGGGACAGGGGTCTACAGAGTGGGGCTCCTGGGTTGGCATAATAAAATAAACCAACTGGGAGGGCCAAAGGGGTGGTACTAGCCCTCCCTGGCCCCAGTCCTTGCCCCACCTGACCTAGGCTCAAGTCTGCTTAGCTTGCAGCATCTCAATGAGCAGGTTGTTTCGGGGCATCTCGTTGCTCAGGTGCTTGTGGTACAGGTATTCTTTGGCCTGCATGCTCAGTGCCCGCACCTCCACCAGGCACAGCAGCAGCTGCTGGAACTTGTCCCCGCAGTGCGGGTAGTGGCACAGGGTGTAATCCAGCAGGGCAGCATTGGCCTTCTCCTGAGCGTCCTTCACCAGGCTGTGGTTATTCAGGAACTTCACATCTGCAAAGGGAGAAGGAGCTCTGTTAACATCCTGCTGTCACCACCACCGGGGCGGGGCTAACACTGTCACATCACTGAGGTCCCCCGTGCTCTTCAAAGACATAGGTATGCGTACCATCAGTGAAGCAACCAGAAGTTCCCCATCACCACCATATCACTATCCCCATTGACATCCCTGTAGTGGATGAACACTGCCGCCATTATCAACCACCAATCTTTACATCTTCGTTTTGTATTTGTTGTTGTGTTTCTGTTGTATTTTTTTTTAATTTATTTTATTATTTTTCAGATCTGACTGGTACAGGAGGAGATTGTCCCTCCTTCCCTGGCAGAGCATCTGGTACTGTTGTATTGTTTTATAAACACTGTCACTGATGCCATTAACACCTCAACTGCAGTCACCCCACTCCTTGTGATTATTACCACCGACATTGCAACAAGCTGTGGACACTACCACTATTACCAGCCTTTCTACATGTCTCCTCGGACATGTCACTTAATGTCCTCCTCTATACGATGAGATTGTAGTTGTGGCTACTTCACAAGGTTGTCACGAGAATTTGGGGACTTGGTACCATGGAAAATACTCAGAGGAAAAGGTTTTGACATACAATAGGGCTTATGAAGTTATTGTCCTTACTCTTGTTAGCTCTGTTACCAACAGCATTGCTGCCATAAGCAGCCTCGCCCCCATACATCCACTGTTACCATCCCCGTGGTCGTCACCATCAGCACCAGCAATTGGCCATAATCATCACTGCCCCTGCACAGCACCATCCCCAGCGGCAGCATCTCATCACTCCCATCATCTTCACCATCACTCCTGACTGTAAGGCCTGTGTCCTGGAGCTTCCATGTAGCACACAGACACCCACCGGTCTACTTCATAACCAGTGAAGAGGTTCGAGAACAACACAGTGAAGAAACAACCTACAGATCGAGGAAAAATATTTGGGAACTACATATATAGTATTGAAGCTCAGCACCAAGTAAACAAAGATTCTCACCGCTGGGCCAATGGGCAGCATCATAATAGATGGTGAAGAGATTGAGGTTGCTAACAGCTTTAGTTGCTTGGCTCCACAATCAACATTCTTGGTACCAGCAGCCAGGAAATTAAAAGACAAATTACACTGGGAAAGTCTGCTGTCAGAGACCTCTTCAATGTACTGAAGAGCAATGATGTCAGTCTGGAGACTAAGGTGCACCTGATCCAGGCCATAGTTTTTGCAATTACTTGTTATGCAACAGAAAGCTGGACAATAGCTAGGGATGACAGAAGAATTGATGCCTTTGAGCTGTGGTGCTGGAAAAGAGTATTGACTATACTATGGACTTCCAGGAGAACAAACAGTTTCATCCTAGAGAGGGTAAGACCAGGTTGCTCCTTGGAGGCAAGGATTCTGAAGCTTCCTCTGACATACTTTAGGCATGTTGCAAGGAGGGACCAGTCCTTGGAAAGGGATGTCATGCTTGGGAAGGTGGAGGGACAGCACAAGAGAGGAAGACCCTCAATGAGGTGGATTGATTCAGTGACTGGCGTATTGGGGGTAGGTGTGTCAGAGATGGTAAGATTGGCACAAGATAGAGCAGGGTTTAGGGCTGTTATACATAGGGTCGCTATGAATCGCAGGTGATTAGACAACACGCAACAACAACAACACTATATAATAAGGATTTAACAAAGAACTTCTACAACTCAATGATGATAACAAAAATCAACCCAATCAAATAATGGTCAAAGACCTGAATAGACATTTCACTTTAAAAAAAAAAGTTATGCAAATTTTTTTTTCACACGTCAATCTGCAGTTCAACATCTTTAGGTGGTGAAGTTGTCATGCGCCATCAAGTTGGAACCAACTCAACTAACCCTCCAGCAAGTTATTAAAGGCTGCAAATAGCAAGAGAGGAGTTTGTGCATCTTTCTCCCTTAAAGCAGCTGGTGGGCTTGTACCACCTGCCTTTATGTAGGCAGTGGAACTCCTTAACCACTAGACCATCAAACTCCCTCTTCAGTCATTAGACAAATGCAAATCAAAACCACAATGAGTACTACTTTACCCCTACAAGGATCGCTATTATCAGAGAAAGAGGAAATAACACACATTGGACCTCTGAAGTTGTTGGTAGAATCATAAAATGAGGCAGATCCTGTGGAAAACAATTTGGCAGTTCCTAAAATAGTCAAACACAGAATCACCAGATGATCCAGAAATTCTACTCCTATTTATGAACTTGGGATTTGAAAGCTGGGACTCAACTAAGGCTCAAAATTCGTACACTAATTTTCAGTACTATTCATAACAGCTAAAAAGTGCCCTATGTCATCAGCAGCAGCAGTAGGAACTTTGTATAAGTGAAATATTATGCAGTCATTAGGAGAGATGAGCTTTGATACATGCTATGACATGGAGGAATTTGAAAATATTATGCTGAATGAAATAAGTAGATATAAATCCAACACCAGCTGCTGCTGAATCAATTCTGACCCATAGTGACCCTATAGGACAGTAGGAAACCAGAGGGTTTCCAAGGCTGTAAGTCTATGAAAACTGACTGCTTTATCTTTCTCCCTCTGAGAAGCTAGAGGATTTGAACCATCAAACTTTAGGGTAGCAGCTGAGTGCTTTAAACACTGTACCATCAGGGCTCCTCAATCAGATATACAAAAAAGAACAATTATTACTTGACTCTACTTATATGAAATATCTAGACCAGGCAAATATACAGCAACCAAAGTTTATTAATAGGGTAAGTGGGAGTGGAGAAAATGGGAACTATTGTTTAAGGGGTTCTGAGTTTTCTATTAAGGGTGATGAAAAAAATTAGAAATTGATAGTGGTGATACCTGCACAAGATGGTGGACCTAATTAACATGACTGAATTGCATATATAAAATGGTTGAGAGGCCACATATATTTTATCATTTTGTTTGTTTGTTTTTGTTATTGTTGTTTTGTGTACCATCTAGTTGAATCCTACTGGTCCAGGAAGAGATTGCTTCTCCTTCTCCAGCGGATCATCTGGTGGATTTGAACCATGTGCCTTCGGGATTGCAGTGCAGCTTCTTGCCTCTAGGCCACCACAGCTCCCCACAGTGCTTTTTTAAACAATAATCATAAACAAACAAAAAGCTCTAGTGCCCAAGGAAATTCTCTGATGGGACGAGGGAGGGACATGGGAGAGGAAGTTGACTGCAGGAACATGTGTGGTGGTGGAGAGATGGCCTTTACAGCTGTACCATAGTGTGTCATGTGCAGACAAAACTGAGTAGATATGACACAGAGCAGATAAATGGACCTCTTAAAAGCATGGGATAGGGACTGGGGTGTGCTGGGATGGGAAACAAAAAGCAAGAGTTAAAGATGCAAAGGAAGACCTATACGACAAGCTCTGGTGGCCTAGTGGTAAGAAACTGCGCTGCAATCCCAAAGGCATGTATGTGGTTTGAATCTACCAGCTGCTCCCTGAAAGGATGGGCTTATGAATTGCTTATGAATACCCACTGGAAGGTCAGCTGTGAGTTGGTTCCGACTCAACAGCCCAAAACAACAACCTAAGGCAAAGCCATTTATATAAACTGAAAATGTTATACTGATACACAAGCCATAAACATTATGTAAGAACCGGGAACAAGTAAGAATATGTATATTAAGCATAAAAGAGTGGTTATGAGAGGGAGAGGTGGAGGGACTGGCTATGAGTGGACTAGATGGTCATTTGTGCCACAAATGGGAAGGTCAACATGTCATCCCCAGGACCTGAGGTCCAGTGAAGATACACACACAACCCCCAAATAAACCCCAAAACAAAAAACAACTCCTGAGTAAAGCAGACAGGTTCAAATTCCAGCTCCATCATTTAGGACCGGTGCCCCATGCATGGCCTGCGATGGCTCACGTGGGCTTCCTTGTCATAACAGAGGCAGCGTCCACCTTGCAGGAAGTGGTGGGCAGCAGGGCAGTAGTGGTGGGCAGCATCTTCTGCCCAGGTGCCCATGGATGATGGGAGTCTGCACTGTGCATGATACCCAAGGATGTCTAGGGAAGTCAGTTTCCGTCACTCAAGTCCTTACTAACCTACAGGCCAGGGGCAGGCCTTGGTGCCTTGGGAAGGAGCTCTAGCTTCCTCTGCCTGGGGCACCATGCCAGCAGAAGTTGAACAGCAAGGTTGGTCCCCAACTTGAAAATTCTATCCTAGTCTCATCTGGGATGCGACAGCCAGTGGCTTAGAAAATGGTTGTCAATGCGTGTCCCTTCCACCCCTGGCACCCTCAGCCCTGCTGCTGCGGGGGTGTCTAGAGCCCAGAATGCACAGCCCTTGGCCCTCTAATCTCTCTTAACACCCACTGCGCCAGAAGGGCTCTATGCTCCTGGCAACCCTGATCCCCAGCTGCCCCCAGCACGCCTGCCGAGGCCCCTGTTGTCCGAAGTTGGATTTAGGGAAACCAGAGCTGGGCCCAAGGCTTATGCCAGGATTGAGCTTGAGCTTCTGAGCCTCCACCTTCTACCTGTAGCCCCATCACTTTCCATTCAGTAAGCAAACTGGGTAATTTCTTCCTCATCCCCCCAGGGTTGCCATTAGCCCATAAGACACCATCGTGTCAGTTAGAAAGAAGTTCCCCTTTCCACAAAGGCACAAATTGGCAACAACATGCAGGCAGGATTTCAACCCCAATTCATCCCTAGCCCAGGTGCCTTTGTGCAGTGGGCAACCTGCCCAACTGTACACAGCAGCCCTACTCCAAATACATTCACAGGTCACAAAGAATCATCCCATTCAGCCAGTTTTTGAGGGCAATAGATAAATTCTTCCCCTATCCCTACTCCAGCATCTTTCCACCCAATCCTGATCCATCTGCCATTCTGTTGTTCATCCTTTACCTTCTCTGGGAAATTCTTCTGATATTCACAATATAAGGCTGGGGACCCAGAGAGCAATTGGGTCTAGCTCAAGGTCACACAGCCATCCAGGCGCCCACGGGGAAAAGCTTGGAG